GTTTTTTAAAAGGGGAGGGTGTCCCCGCCCCTTTTGAGGGGGAAAAAGAAAAAAAAAAAAAAAAAAAAAAAAAAGAAACGTTTTAGTTAGTTAGTTATCTTTTCCCATCAACTGAGTGGAGGTTGAGTGTTTACCAATGTGTGTTATTCATATTGTAAGCTTGGTAAGAAAGGATGGTCTTACACCTGAGCTGCCTAATGAAGCTGAAGTTAGTATCTGATTCACCCATCCTTCCTTCCGTTTATCCAACTATCCTTCAAGTCACCATTGCAAGCAACTGTGTTGCAATATGTCACGGCACATTCTTAGTCTGTCTAAAGAAAAAGTACTATTTTACCTTTTAATTGTTTTTCTTGAAAACATATCTTAAGAGCTGTAAAACGTTCAGTCTGTTCATGAAAAAAAAACACACTTATTTAAAGATGTTTAATTCAGCCATTTTTCACATTCATTGAGGCATTCATTGTTACAAGGCAATACAAGTGATAAACCATGGATTTATAATCTAACAGCAGTATTTCAAAGTTTATTCTCTGGGCCACAGAGTTCCAGTGTAAGGCCTGTAGAACTGGGGTGATGTGCTCTGTCTTCTTGGGTTTTTGAGAACATGAGCTGGATCGACTGTCCTTGTAGGCATTGCTACAGTATTCAACTAAAAATCGCATCCAGTGGTAACTAAGACAGAAGTGGACTGTATAATGAATAAGTGCAAACCTGTTAGTGAGGAATGGTGAAGACCAGTGGTGACGTTTTAGTGTTGTTGTAGCATTGCTCGAAGTCAGTTTAATAGTTTTTATTTCTAGCTTGCCAGCGAGCTTAGCTTTTGAGACAGTCATCGTTACTAATAATCTTAATCTTAGCTGCGGTTAAGTTTAAAAAGAAGACTATTTCAACCATTTCTTTTGCCTTAATCACAAACCAGATTTTTTTTTTTTTAATAAAAGATGTGGTTGTTAGGAACGGCTTCCTTGTCATGAGTACACAACAGAGGTGTGTTAGGAAGGAGAGGATCTGCATTCATTATACATGTTTGTACAAACAAATTGGCTGCAGCCATGAAACTCTGTCCTTAAGCTGTTTTAGTATCGATCTATCTGAGCTTGAAGGTAGTAAATGTGTATTTAGGAAGATGATCTGGATTGATTTTAGGTACGTGCTGTTATCTTGTTGTTTATAAACTTTCAGTTGTGCAGATACTTTCTTTTCACTTCCATTTGATTAATAAGATACAATTAAAATTGTTCCTTGAAAAAAAACTTTATATAAAATGTTCAACAATTAGACATTTTTGTAAAGAGATTTTATTTATCAGTTTGGGTTGAAAATTTAAAAATGAATTTGTTTTGAACTTATTTTCGTAATTAAGTACATTTTATAAATTATATTAAATTATTTTTTAAAAATGTCTTTTAGCTGCTGGACCTATGCAGTTTCTAAACATAGATGTTGAATAAAATGACAAAATACATAAAAATTCTACATCAGTTAGTTAAACTCCACCGTTTGTAGTGTATAACACATCCGTGACAGAGAAGCTTACACTTATATTTTCCTTTATGTTTTGTGATTTAAATTCTTATTTTTTTTATATTTTACATTGGATCAGAAGATTCTATCATAGAAATTATTAACCTTCTGCTGAAATGACAGAAAATATAGGTTTAATGTTAACATTTCTCACTTTAGAAAGACAAATGTCAGTCTGTTCTGGGGCTGACATTTGTATGTCATATTTTATACGTAGCTTAAGATCAATTGAGCTTGTGAAGTCGCTCATAATTCGTGGGGTGATACAATTCCTATGAAACACCCAGCGTTAAACGCTTCTTTATTTTCCACAGCCGTCCTCTCTTCTTTCTCTCTAGAGTCGGTAATAGCATCAGCGTTTGATGAGATCTCCTGACCGAAGACGTCATAGGCTGCCTCCGCTTTCCAGATGAGGTCACGGGCTTTCTGTGTCGATGGGATCATGTGCGGTTCTATCCACTTAGGAAACGGACCTGCTTTTTTTGATGCCGATGGAGCAAACCGCCCATCGGACCTCAGCGCATTCGCTCGTCTTTGAAAGCAGCGGGATAAGTCGGATCTTACTGAGGTTGCAGGAATTCCTGTTTTATCGAGGGACATTAAAGTATGCCATTACAGAGAAATAGTTTAAACATGTAAGGAAAGGAAGAACTTTGCTTATCGAAAACCATCACTGTTTCGATAAGTGTTCCTCTCTTTTTTGAACTTCCATTGTTTCGTCACTTTTGGCAAAACTTTATAATAAATGACAGAGAAGAGGTCAAATAGATCAATTTTATGAAACACATAAATGCTTTCCATATAAAGTATAACTTTATTTTCTTCCTGAATGAAGACAATTGGGTATGCGGCTCTGAACCTCGAACATCTACATCTTTCGTCTTCTCTTAACGGCCATGTGATACTTAAAATAACGTAAAGTTTCTTTAAAATGCATTTGTTCACCTAGCTTACTTAACTTTACTATAAAGTGAAATGATCATAACATCCATTCATCCATGAATATGGACCTGTAGAAAAGGAAAATAAAAGCTGGAGAGCTGCAGATTGTAGTTTGAGAAAACAGAAAATAGAAGCGGCAGTGTCGGGGTCACAGGATTTGATTGTGATTGCTCAGGCTGTCTGAGATGTCGGGGTCTCGTCAGCTGCGGTCAGGTGAGGGTGGGTCGCCCGCGTGCTCGCGGGTGTCCTCAGAGCTTCATCACGGCTGACAGCACGCCTCATCGTACACTCGGTTGATTCCCTGAAAGACAGGGTTCACCCAGATCCACCACATGCCATGTTTACGAAGCTAAAGTTGTCCGTCTTGCCTTAATCCTAAAGCAACAGGTGATTCCGGTTCGGTGACACTGCCGAACTTTGACATGTGCAATTAAGGAGTTCTGAGGTCAGAATTTAGTTTGTTTTCCTTAACAAGCTTCACTGTTTAGATAGGAGGGAACAATGTTTTCCTCCAACCAACCTAAGATGTATCCATTAGAACATTTCTGGTCGCTTAAGGAAGGGAGAAAAAAAAACAAAAAACTAAACGGTATGCATCTATTTGGAAGGATCAGGAGTGAGATTGTTTTTGAAAAAAATAAATCAATAAATTAGATTACAAAAAAAGCTGCAATAGTTAATATTGAAGGCCAGCCTCAATGCAGACACCATCGGTCTTTGAGCAAAGGGGGTAGTCGTTACTATAAAACCTTTCCTCTGAGCCAAAAGAGATTAGCAAAGTCACCTTGAATAAGCAATGTCATTTTGCCCAGTAAAATTGCATTATGGAAGCTGGAGACGGTCCTGTGATTTGTGTCCTCCTGACAGGGCTTCAGTGTTCATTAGAGGCAGCAGCAAGGAGCTCTCAGACTCACTGGAACCACAGACACAGCTCTGAGCATCCCCACCCTTCGCATAATTATGCAGCTTACCTTATGAAATGTTTTTGGCAAAAACATTTCATAATTCTTTTAATATATTAGAGTCTTTGATACATTAACAGTGGAGGCAGGACGTCTTTAGTTTTTAACGTTTTGTGTTTAGTTGCCATCACTTTGACCTTCAGTTCCCAGTGCAGACACCTCATAAAGCACTTTATAAGTAAAATCGCATTTTATTGAAGTCTGAAATTCGGAAGGAGAACTATTTTCATTCATGACGTTTACATTCATTTACAGATGGATGTAACTACTTTATATTTTCTTGGTCCAGAAAATATTTGGTATACTTTCAGTAACATGTCTAATGGCTGCCTTTTGATCAAAAGCTGCTAGATGTTTTCTATTGTATCTACCATAAAAATAACATAAAAAAAACTCTGGTTAATAAAGCACAAACATTTTGCATTATTATTTTTTTAATTTTAAGAAGCTTTTATTTTGTCAGTGAATTTGTAGCCTTATAATTTAAAAACTTTATAAGGCTATTTATAATTTAATAGTTGTTGTTAAGATTCTCTGAGACCTAGATGCCTATGGATAGTGAAGAGTGCTAAGCTACAATAAATAAATAACTTATGAAATAATTATTTAAACGTGTCATTAATTTTGCACAAAAAAACCAAACACAGCAAATACATCGCCCCAGAGGTTTGGCAAACTTGTAAGAAAATGTCTAATCCTGTCCACTGGATGGGTGAAGTTCACAGGTTAAATTATGTAATGTTGTGATCCAGAACAGGAACGTTAAATGATTTATTAAATTGTGAAATAATTACATCTAGCCTTTAAAATGAAATCAAAACATCTAATTGAGGCAAATATAATTAATTCTGTATTTATTTATTTTTTCTGTATTTATTTCTAGTTTTAAAAAAAATAATGGCACATTTAAATAATTATTTTGTAAGTTATTTATTTATTGTAATTTGGCACTCGTCGCTCTCCATAGCTTCCACTCTTTTCTGCTGCATCCTGCTAACAAGATAAATATGGTTCTTAGTCCAGATTAGTGTCCACTGGCTAAAGGCAACATTCCTCTGTCTCAAGTCATATTTACACATTTGTAAAACAGAACATAGTTTAATTGTTGGATGTTTTAATGAAATGCTTCAAGCTAGCAAAGTCGATTCTGTAGGAAATACTTATGTGTTAATGTGGTATTTCCTCATTCCTGTTTATTAGATGTTGCCGGTGAAAGTCTGAACTTTTCTGAACTTATTTAGTGCGAGTTTGTTACTTCAATAATGTTTTTTTTTATTATTATTTTTATCTATGGTTGAGCGCTTTACAGATTCAATGAGCACATCACGCTTAGCCATGACAGTGAATTAGTATAGAATGTTGATATATGCGCCTTTAGCAAATATATATGACGTACATATTAAGTCATTTGACAATGACATTATACAGTCACAGCGATAAGCACACAGATGCATGCCTGCACCCCATTAATTGCATTTCTTACTGATCCTTGTTTATTAGATTCCTTTTCACAGACCCGATTGTGAGTCAGCAGATTCAGCATTTCAGCTTGAAATAATCACCGCCTCAGAACCAATGCCAGCTCATGAAATATAGAACAAGGAGAGACTCTCTGGAAATTGAATTTTTATTTAAATAAAAACTGAGCGTTACAAAAGAAAAAAAAAAGTGATTCTGTCTCACATCAATCCAAATGATTAAAAGGAGAAGAGTGTGAGGATGATAAAAGAGGCTATGAGCCGTCGGTGGGAAGTCGTCTTTTATTAGAGGATGATTATGGATGTAGTGGTGGTATCTATTAATAATCTCACTAGATCTGACTCTTTTTCTCTTTTGTCTCCAATCTGTTCTTCCCTGCTCCCTTCTTGTACTTATTTGTCTGTTATTTATCTTTCCCCTGTGTCTTTTAGCCCAGCTGATGACGGTGATTGCCGGAGACTTTGAGGGTTATCTCCTGTTGTGACTCAAAAGTGCAGCATCTCTAGATCCTCCGATAGCCGCAAATCTCCATCCTTCTGCACTCAGCCCTCCAAACCTGCCAGAAAAGGTCAACATTTAGCGCCACTATGGAGGACACGTACAATAACAGGACTTCTCTGGTTAAGGGAGCCAAGGACATGGTCAAGGAAGCCAAGCGGCACACGGCGAAGAAAGTCAACAAGGTGGTCGACCGCGCTGCCGACGAGTACTCATCTCATCGCAACTACACGCGATTCCAGGATGAGGAGGACGAAGACGAGGATTTCTACCACCACCAGAAAGGACACGAAGGAGAGAGTTGCCGTGACAACGAGGAGGGCTCCAGCGATGCCACGGAGGGCCACGATGACGAGGACGAGATCTATGAGGGGGAGTACCAGGGGATCCCCTCTTCAGCCGCAGACAAGAAGCATAAGGAAGGCCAGGTGGCGCTGGGACAGCCGACGTCGGATGCAGCGAGGGACCGCAGTGAGCTGGAGCAGGAGAGGGATGCAGATGAAGAGGAGCTGGCCCAGCACTATGAGCTGATCTTGCAGGAGTGTGGCCATGGGAGCTTCCAGTGGCAGCTGTTCTTTGTACTGGGACTGGCGCTCATGTCAGATGGTGTGGAAGTGTTTGTGGTGGGATTCGTCCTGCCCAGTGCAGAGACAGACATGTGTATCCCAAACTCCAGCTCAGGATGGCTCGGTAAGATCCCAGTTGGTGTTCAGATTTTGCTTTTCTACTGATATCATCCATCCAGGAAGGCAGATCCACACTGTTAAAGTACTTATGGCACTAAATCTTTTTTTTTTTTTTTCACATTTTATCACCTTGCAATCACAAAGAGCAATGTATATTATTGGAATTTTATATCAGACCAACGGAAATTAGTGCTTACTTGTGACCTGAAAGGAAAATAACACATCGTCTCAAGCTTATTAAATTAAAATTTGAAATGTCTGATTTGCATTTGAAGTGACAAACAACCTGACCCTAAATGATGTTTTTTTTTTTTTTCACCATGATCAGAGAAGATGCTAAGAGCTGATTTCAGGATCAATAGTACTGAATACAGAGCCTTTTCTACCAGTAAGACACAAAACCCAATACAAACAGTCAGGACTGCAAAGGATTGGTGAGATCAGTGTGTTGGAATAACCCTTTCAAAATCAGGAGCTAAATTCAATTGAAAGTCTGTGGCACATGTAAAAAACAACAAGCAATCTGACTGAGCTTCAGTGTATGGAAAAGGAAAAAACTTCAGGTTCTAGACTTGTAAAGCTGGTTGAATCAAAATATCTGCAGCAGGACGGGCAGCAAACGCTGTGGATCCTGGTATGAATCCTTGTGCAAGGCCCTGCACAGCTGGTATGATTCTGAATCAGGTAAATGTGTTGCATTGATCCACCCTGTTGCTGGAGCTCATCCACCTGACTGAAAAGCAAGATCAGTGCAGGTTAAACATCAACCCAGCTGGAGATTGGCTAGAATCCTAAAAGTGTTTCAATGTTGGAAGTGTTTCAGTCCAGTGGTCTCTGTGTGTGCGTGTGTGTGTGTGTGTGTGTGTGTGTGTGTGTGTGTGTGTGTGTGTGTGTGTGCGCAGCTTAAGAGACAAGCTGGTATTCCCTGTGTAACTCTGTGGAGTTTCAGCAGTCCCAGTAGCTGCAGGTGTATAATCCATCACTGCAGAGCTGTTTACAGCGTTTGACTTGCTGTGTCAGAACCAGAGTGGAGAGGACGTTAAATCGGACTTGCAGCCCTTAGATACTAACCGCTCCGGCAAGGCATGACAAAGCAAAACACCTGACGCAGACAGAGTCGTGGAAACGTCGAGAATCTGAGCTACAACCAGGAATCGTATCAAAGATGGGCATGCAAACTCATCTTTATCTTTATTACTACCTTTAATGCTAAGTCAGCTTAAAGAATTTGAACACACTTTTTTTAGTGTTCCAAAAGAGAAACAGAGCAAACAGGCGTGTTTTGAATTGAAGTGACAAACGTAGATGTGCAGTAACTTTATATTTTAAAAAGTGTCTTTTGAAGTATCACTGTATGCTCACTCCGCGACAAACCTCATAGATATTCACGTCCTCTACCTCCTCTTGTTTGTACCTCTCTCCTTTATCCCCTGTCATCCTCCATTCAGTGTGCCTCTCTTTTCATCTTCTGTTCTCACCCATCCTTCTCATCTTTTTTCCTCTGATTGCCCCCTAAGCCCCTCCTCTAGTGATGATCACAGTAGGTGTGTGTGTGTGTGTGTGTGTGTGTGCATATGTACTCATATGATTGCTGTGACCTTGTTGCTACCCATTTTGTGGCTAGTTTGTTGTGCAACTGTACTGTAGCATAGTTTAATCTGCTTTGTGTTTTTGGAGCGTTTTAAACATTGACATGATCAGCTAGTTACCTTATATGTCTGTGGGTGAATGAACAAAATGAACAGATTTAAATGTTTCATCAAGTGGAAGCACAAACCAAGTTAAACTGGTTTCCAACAGTAGTTATAGTAGAGATAGTTTTCACCATCTCAAAGTTAGTTTTAGCAGCAGTAGTACATGATGCTTGGCTTCCGTGTTGGTTTGATTTCCCATGATTTAGCGTGATTTTATTGAAGTGGAAGTTCTGATTATATAATAGGAAAAAAAAAAAAAAAAAGCAGTTTCTGCAGTGTTTGTTGCTCCGTGACTGAGGGCAGCCTGGACGTTACACTGACAGGGAGGGATGGCATAACAATTCACAGGCACAGAACTTGGTGATCAATAGGCAACACACAACAGACATGTCTAACACAACGTAAAAGTAAATAAGTAAATAAATATAATTTTGTTATTTTTATTCTTTTAATTTAAAGTAAACCTTTTAATTTAAAGTAAACCAGGTTTACTTTTAATTTAAAGTAAACCTGGAATAATATTCAACATAAAGTACATAGCAAAAGGCATTTACCTCTTTGAACTCTTTCACATTTTGCTATGTTACAACCACAAATGTATTTTATTGGGACTTTATTGCAAAAATATTACCTAAATAGGAGGATAATAGAAAAAGCTCAATGTTTTTTTTTTTTTTTTTTTTTTAAATGATTACATAGTTTGTATTTCAGGCATGGAAAAGGAGGAGGTTAAAAACTATTGTTTTTAGAGCAGAGAGCGTGCAGGGAAAAAAGTGCTCTCAAATATAAGCATTACAAAAAAATGTGTTCTTTCTCATGCCATAATTGTCTTTTTTTTTTTTTAACTGAATACAGTTAGATCTTTTTTTCAGAACTACAACAACAGACTTGTTCCTAATAATACAAACATTTCCTGAGTTTTGCTGTGGAGCCTTTATTTCTGAATAACCTGGATTAATATGCGTCTCCAACATTAACTGTGACAGATGGAAATAAGGAAGTGGAATACCATGTGTTGGAGAGCGGGAGCGTGTCTGCGTGTAGAGTTAGCTGTGAAGGTAATTGACCCACGCAAGTTAACCGCAGGCAAAAAAAAGATTTTCCTCTCCCTACCAAAACATTAATGCATTTTAAAGTAAATTAGTGACTAAACGGCGAAATATATTTTTTTATTTTCTGGACAAAAGAAATAAAAATATTGAGAAATTAACGTTTTGAAATGCTTTGATTGATTCTATCTGCACTAGAAAATAGTCACCCACAAGCACAAGGACTCGGCTGAAATAAAAGGGATAATTCACAAAAGCCACATGCCGTTGACTCAGAATGCGTGATGGCACTGCAGGTTTGCAGGGGGATGGATGCTGTAAATACCATAAGCAAGAATTATGGATAAGGAAAGGCACAGAGGGGAAGAAGAACCATATGCAGTGCAACATGTGAAAAAAATGGGGAGGGATGTAGCTGGAGAGAGTTTGAAGAGGAGAGATTACCAAGTCAGAGAGGAGTAATGGGGTAGGAGGTGTAGGCGGACTGAAGCGGCGAGGTGGAGACTGATAGTATGTAGTACACCAACACAGTGAGGGAGAGGCTCAGCTATTATCTTTGACACAACAGACAAAGGGATTGCATCACCCTATCATTACTTGTTTCTTCTTGTAGGCTGACTTTTTCCTCCTGAGACTCCCCTCGTCTCATTTACTTTCGTGAACTTGACTGTTTTTACTTCTCTTCATTTTTGTCTTGTGTCAGCTGACCTCGTGTACACTCTTTGCACGCCAGCTTCTCTCTTTGGCTCCATCGCAACAGCACTCGTACTATTTTTCACTTTTTCATCCCGGTGTGAAGCCTGCTGGTTGAATGTGTGGAGCTTGTGTGGCCCTGGTGCAGCTGAGCGTGGCTAAACTGCAGTAAGATCCCAATGTCGCTGCAGAGATTAGGCTGCTTGAAAAGTGCAGCTAGCTCTGGATTGTGTGTGCATGTGTGTCAAATTAAAGTCAAAGAAATTATTATTATTATTTTTCATCTTCAGGGTGTTGGAGGGCTGTGCATGGAGAGGGTGTGTGTGACAGGACTTAATGTGGCATCTTAAAGAAGAAAGCTGATGTCTCCTTCACGCTCTGCAACAAGCCCCATGGACAGCTTTTGTGGGAACCCTGAGAGTGTGAAAATCCTTCAAACAAATTCCCATTTCACTATATTTGCATCAGTTCACATTAAAAAAGAAAAATATGTTTTAAAATCTGACCTTTAATATTTGCTGAAAAACTTAGGTAACACTTTATTTGAAGGGGGATGAATAAGACTGTCATGACACTGTCATGAACATGAATAAGCCTTCATGAATATTTATGACTGTAAATTATGACACTTTTAATACAAAGTTTACATTATTCAAAATCTCTTTGATATGACAACTTGACATTAACCAAGAAATCATTACTGTTTAAACTTTACCTTTAATAACATAAAGTTACATAATTTTTAAAGTGCAATCAGTAATACTTTCATAACAAATTTATATCAGTAATGATTTCCTGGTTAATGTCAAGTTGTCATAACAAAGACATTTTGAATAATGTCAACTTTGTATTAAAAGTGTCATAATTTACCGAATGACGCTTTATGACAACAGTCATTAATATTCATGAAGGCTTTTTCATGTTCATGACAGGTGATATGTCATGTTAATGAAAGTGTCATGACAGTCTTATTCACCCCCTTCAAATAAAGTGTTACCAAAAATTACTCTACGTTAGGAAATAAATTCTTTTTATTCTTTTTCAAAATCCCCAGTGGTGCAATTTTGCTTTCCTTAAAAAACCTTTAAAAATAAATCTAACTGAAAGAATTATAGTTTTTTTTTTTTTTTTTTTTTTTAAGTAGAGCAGAGTTTTTCAAATTTTAGTAGTATTCAATAAATGTCTTTTTTTTCTTGGGGCAAAACTATGACATGACACATGAGGCCATTTTTGCAAGCCACTCTTCAAAATTGGGAAGACAAGAGATCATGCAATTCAAGTGATGTGTGTTGATCTTCATGAGTTGATAAATTGTTACAATAAAATTGCTTCTTGCTTAGACTTTCCCATATAGACAGTCAAAGAGTGGATCTTTGATCCTATGGGCCACCAGATCACACGTGGTTCAGCACCACTAAATAAATCTCCTTTCATGATATTTCAGTCCCCAGACCTATAAAAACTCTCACTGGTGAGCTAAAGAGAGGACCCAGGAGAGAACTCAATATTTGTCTGAGCCACAAAATCACAAAAGAAAGCTGATTATATTTTAGGAGTCCCTGCTTTGTAAAATGTAATTGTTTTATTGGTTGAATTAAAGAAGTACAATCTTTAGGTGGTATAACAAACTTTCACAGGATGTAAACAAATGTTAAGCCTTCCTGGAAAACTTTATAATGGGTTTTTGTCTCTGTCAAACTGCCTTTTTTCTCTCTCACTCTCATTTTTGACCATGCCTGTATTTGTATCTGGAGCCCTCTGCAATGACTGGCTGAACACTTCAGTTTTGTTTCACTGCGGAGGTGGCAGGAGGCAGAAGGGATGAATCCCATCAAAGTGGCACGATGTAGTACAAATATGATTACATGCTGCTCACGCATAGAGGAGCCGCCAATGGTGCAAAAAGCAGAGAGGAAACTAAAGCAAATACTCTAAAACAGAGAGGAGATCAGAGGAGTCTAAACTGTGTGGAGGCAAGAGAAATAAGTAAGAAGCAAACTGGATGAAAGAGAAAGTGTAAAAATGGAACACAACACAGAAAGGGTGACAGATACAGGTACCAGGGCGATGCCACAGGGCGTGCGACGTACAGTGTTGTATGAATAAAACAGCATGGCTGTTTTCGTGTGGTGCCGAAATGGTTTGTGGTGCTACAAGTGAAGAGCATCAAAGCATGAAATCACAGAGGAGGTGGTGATGCAGCTCGGTGCTCGATCGTCTCGGAGGGGCTCCTTGGTGACAGGGCAGAAAACAACGAGAGGGGTCCGCCCTCACCCTTCTGTCGTGGCTGTGCATCTTTTGCCTCTTCCTGAGAAGTCTCCAGGCTCTGACAGACTATACGGGTCTCCACCTATAAAGTCAGCAGCTTCATCAATGCAGAGATATCGAAATATTGAGCTTTAATCTATACGACTTGTCTCCTCGAAAAAGAAATTCACAAACTGTGCCAGCTGACTTCCGGCTGCATGCAGTCATCGCTTACATGAATGTCGTGTTGCTTTGGCGGTTCTGGTTGGTTTTCGAGGTTGAACCGAGAAAACATTTGTTTTATTGTTGCCAGGTTCTCAGTTTATTAGGGATTTTCTCTAATTTTCTCAGATGCAGCAATGAAGTGCAGTAGTATCTTTTTAGTTAGAGCTGGTTGAATTGGTTCATTTCCTTTACAAAGTTTTTTTTCCCCATGTATTTTAATGTAAACTATCCAAAGCCAGTTTTGAGGTGAATTTGATATGATTGCTTGTTTACCAAACACTTGTCTTCCAAATGACTTAAGGTGTCGCTCAGTTCACCTAGTAAAATGAACAGTTATTACAAGTTAATATAGAATAAGTTACTATCTACATAAAGGAAAACATACAGACTTCGAAGGTCTAGTGGAAGTTTAAGGGGGAGATGGTGCACAATATCTTAGCAGGAGTCTCGTAGAAAACCAGAATTGTGTTAGAGGATGTCTGTGCTATTTTTGGATTATATTTCACTACAGTGCAGTAGTCTCCTCTTGGCCGGTGCCAGCCCTGCTGACAACATGCTGAAAGACACTGTGGAGCTCGACTGGGACAGAACATCAATACATTCATTATGCAATTGAGTGTCCTGTGAGCAATGTACTTACAGCTCCACTGTTTGGGGGAGAGATTCTCAAGTCTAAAAGGAAATAGATCCTCTTTTTTTGTACCTCCCTAAAATGTTCACTGGATGTGATATATGGTAAATATATGAATTTTTATCTCACATAAGCCTGGAGCATCTACTGAAGAGGCCTGTTGTATTTGAAATTGAAAGATGTCACATTTTTCAGTCAAAACAGGCGTCTGCTCTCAGCAGAGAATACACCTGCTGAAAGCCAATGCTTCTTTCTCCTTGATACACTGCAGCGGCACAAACGAAGTGCCCTCATGTCTGAGTAAAATCTAAAATATAATGTTTCTTTCTGAAATTGAAGCGTCTAAAATAGAGAGAAATGCAGATGATGTTGCTCTTATAGCAGCACAAAATCACACACAATAGCAACCGAAGCAGTGCTACGGCCTTTTTCTCTTCGGGGAAAATTCATGATGATCACTGAAAGAAATCAATGCTGTTTTGTTGGAGCATTGATCTTGTCAGTGATGACCAGGATTAAAGGAGAGCTGAGGCCTGTTTTGTTAAACTAACCTGGATTGTAGTTCACATTTGTCTTTTTATTGTTCAAAGTCTGTTTTTTTTTTTGTCCTCTTCATTCTGTGTTTGTTGTTGCATAAGAAGATACACACACCAGCACTTTTTTCTGTGGATTTTTGAACAATTTTTTATTGCTTAAATGAAAAAAAAGAAAAGAAAAGCTTTTCAGAAATGGGTTTGTAGTAGAAACAATCATGTTAATGTTGATCCAAAGTAAAAAGAAAACTAAAAAACTTCTGGATTCTAAATTTGTTCTAATTCCTTTTCTGCTTTGGAATAATAGGAGTCTCTCTGCATGATAATCTAAAAATTAATCTAAGAAGAATAATTTTAATAATAATTGCCATTAGCCATCGGAATAGCCACATATTGTTGTTAGCCACCTTTGTTGGTCTTTCAAATAAAATCCAAACAGAACTAAAGGACTTTTGTGGTTGCAATGTGAACAAATTTAAAATGGGTCAAGAAGCAAATATATTTTCACAATATGGTTAATATAATATATTGAATACATGATAGATTATAATAACAAATATAATAGGGTTCAATCTGTTAGTATATACAGTGTGTAATTTGTAAAGGGAAGTAAAAAAAAGCTGCTTTGTCTGCTCTTTTTCTAGGCAGCATTGTGTACCTGGGAATGATGGTTGGAGCTTTCTTCTGGGGAGGAATGTCTGACAAAGTGGGCCGCAGACAGTGTCTCCTCATTTGCATGTCCACCAATGGCTTCTTTGCCTTCCTGTCATCTTTTGTCCAGGGATACGGACTCTTCCTCCTCTGCCGTGTAGTCGCTGGCTTCGGGTAAGTCTGATAATGCCAAGGTCAAGACGCAATCTTGTAAAGTAGCGGACGGCGACGCTAAAGAAATCTGCTTCGACGTCAGTGGGGCAACTGGCAGCTCACTGATTTCAGCCGGTCAGAGGTTTCATTTGTGAGACAAATAATTTAAAAGTGGGCTTCCCAATTTTTTCTTCATTCTTGCATTCAAAAAAATTCGACAAGATTCCTTTGATTATACTTCCACTTCATTCATCATTTTCAATCTTGTAAAACTTTGCATCAATATTTATTGGTGTATCATGTTTTTTTTTTTTTTTAAATCTAAAACAATGGTTATTTCTCATTCGAGCTATAAAGTGTGTCCTACACTTACATCAGACACTAGACAGACTGTGATTTAATATCTTGGCAATTTGTTAAAGAGCTAATTCAGTAATTGCACCTACATCATTCTCTCCAGAGACTCTCAGAGTAATTGAAACTCTGAGAGGAGATCTGTCCCTGAATGAAGGCAAATTCATACTCAGGCTTGTTTTCTGCCATGTTATATGAAAACAGGCCAAACAGTTTGACAGAAAAAACAAACAAAAAAAACCACACCAAAAATGATCTTTGTAATCTGACAGATTTGAATGATATCAATAAACATATCATAAAATAGATAAAGCAAGTGTTGTATTTGCTGATGTAAAAACGATGCCTTTTCAGAATTTGAACATCAGCGACAAAAGAGACAATCTAAGTTATAAGAACAACCACATATAGCACTATATCTTTACTAAATCTTAACCAATGCAATCAATTGGGGGCCTACCTGTTTATTCACTTTTTAGTTGCTAAACGAGTTATATTCAGACAGCTTGAGTATTTTCAGTACTTTGGATTAATAAATGGACAGAGTCTATATTACCATATGATGCCCTTTATTTTGTTGCACTGTTTTTAAATAAACCTAGTAATGACCTCATTGCCATGTTCTAATGCTTAAAAGACCAAATGAAAGAGGGGCGCTAATTGCATTGTAAAACCTAGGTGTTTTAGGGGAAGTTCAACAATTTTTTTTCTGATTGGTGCGGAGTCGCTCTTCCTAAAGTGATTTTTCTCCTGTTCTTGCAGGATAGGAGGTGCTGTGCCCATTGTTTTCTCCTTCTTTGCGGAGGTGTTGTCCAGAGAGAAAAGAGGAGAACACCTTAGCTGGTTGTGTATGTTCTGGATGATTGGAGAGATCTATGCATCTGCCATGGCCTGGGCCATTATACCGCACTACGGTGAGTTCACAGGTCCACCGAAATAAAGGAGGCACTTATAGATGGGAAAAAATAGATTAAAATGAAATGGTTCTGTCAGCTCATTAATAGCAGAAAGCACACAGATTTAATAAATAAAATAAAAGCTGCCAGTTATGCTTTAAAAAAGCCTTGTTTTACAGATTGAGTGTAGCAGTACACAATTTAACTTATGCGTCAGTTGCCCATCTGCCCCTGCTCTCTCCATAATTAAAGTTTGAGGTGTTCGTTTTCTCTGCCGTGTGAATCAATCACCTAAAAGCTCTCGGTGTCATCCAACTGGGAAAGTTGGGAGTCAGGAGAAAAACATATGGAGGTTATTAGAAGACAGACCGCAAGGGTGATGTCTGCAGACTCCAATTTGAAATGTAAGTGAGGTCATTTCAGAATACGGCCGTATTTCATTGAACACTAACAATTTTTATCTCGTTTGTTAATTTGGACGGCTGTTAAAAATTGGGGAAATTGTGGCAGTACAGAGAATGAGAGTATTGTGCTATAAAAGTGTAAATGTGGCCTTGAAAGCATAATTTAATATGTAAAGTGGGCTGTCATAACATAAAATCCAGGGTGTGATGGAAACAGGCTTATTGATAAAAGAACGCACTGTCCTGCCAGACTTTACGTTTATTCAGTTCTGAAGGAAATTATTATTATTATTATTATTATTATTATTATTGCTTTGTGTTCTTTACTTCACATAAACAAGATGTTTCTGACTTAATTCAACTGCAATCCTGAAAAAATGGTTTTATTGCAGTGCAATGCAATAAAACTAGTGAATGTGTTTTGTACTTCAATGTCAAACACATAATCTACTTCGAAGATTTTACACAAGAGCTCTGATAAGGAAGACATGAGGATCATTCTAATACTCCTATTAATATTTTTTTCTTCTCCCAGTTAAAGGGAATAATATGATTTACCAATTTCACCAAATTAACAAAGGTTCAGGTGATCCCAAATGTTTGTTAGATCTTCAAATTTTATGCTATTAGATTAGAAAGCACCATGTTGAAGTCAAGATGGCAGCCTTTTGGGGTCGTTCTATTGCTTTCATTCTGCTTTATTCTTTTTAAAAGCTATCATTTATATTTTTTTTTGCTAAAACATTGCAGTTTTTTTTAATGATTATTTCTTCTTGTTTTGGATGTTGCACAGTTGAAAGGATTTTCACTTTTGGACAGCTGCTGTGACGCGTAGCCATGGCAGCAAGGTGTTTGTTTTACATTCAGGAGCAGCTGATTAACATTTCAAAAGATCTAATAAAAACCTCAACTTCAAGTCTGTTGCAGTACTGACAAAAACTGGAGATCCCACAGCTACAACAACTCTTTGGCCAATGTAGGACAATATGGGTTATAACAACAGTCAATTTCCTTTTTGGATTAATAAAGAATTTTTGAATTAAATATGAAATGAACCGATTGACAGGATAAAAAAAAATGCTGTTCTGGATTTCGTTGAATTTAAATAGCAGGATAATAATAGCTAAAACAAATATTCTGTTGAAAAAGGGAATTAAAGAGTTTAGGTTGCATGTCACCTCATTAAGAGTTAACTAGGAAATGCCTGTCTATCTCCCTCCACCACGTGTTGTTTTTATTTCTTGCCTGGGTTTAAACCTGCTGTTCCTTCCTTTTACTGGATGCCATCTCCTCTCGCTTTGTTCCCTCCGCAGCTCCCCGTCTAACTCCATCCCTCTTTTTATTACCACTCCTCTCTCCGTCTCTGCAGAGTGTTCTTCTTGATCAAGCATAATTAGATTTTTCTCCTTGCTCTAATAGGACAAAGCTACATCTAGAAGTGATTTATGACCAGCCTATGCTTTAGCCAACCCGTGACGTCACTCGGACAGAAGCGCAATGTGTGTGTGTGTGTGTGTGTGTGTGTGTGTGTGTTGTGCGTATATTTGTGTGCTCATGCTCCGCTACACGATGCAGTGGGTGAGATTTTACGAGTACAGCAGACACACAGGTCTTTCTCTAGGAAAGTGAAAGAAATAAAATCTGACACTGGAAGAGGTCAGACGAGTTAAAACACACACACACACACACACACGCGCACACACACACACGCACACACACACACACAGAGAGAGAGGAAAACTGGTAGAGTTTTAGTTGAGGGCTTGTTTTATTATATGCTATTGTCTGAGCTCTGCCACAGATTCTTTCATCAGGACGGGCAGAAGCACACTGATATAGAGTTAGTATGATAGCCCTCTAAAACCAGAACTTGACACGTCTTTAGGAGGTCACTGTGCTGTCAGATCTGTTGTTGTCATTTTAAAAGGATAGTAGTCGCCTCACTGTGCTCTTACTCTTAACTCAGCTACTTAACGTAGATTGTCTCTAAATAATCTATGTATAAAACTGCACACAAGTCAGTCTGCACTTGCAGTTCAGAAAAAATTAAGACAATTACATGCTGAGGATGGCACAGAACAACTTTGCTTGTATTTAATGGGCGGAATGAAATACGTGGATGAGGACATCAACGTAGGACTCAAGCCTGGAGAAATCCTCTGGTGGCGAAGGCTGTAAATTGTAAGCCACGCCTCGTTGGTCCAACAATCACAGCAATGTGACATGAATATTTACACAACCTGCGATCCTCGGGTATGAGAAGGATCCACAAAAAGGGGATTCGTGATTGTGTTTTTATTGTGGAACCATGATATGAGACAAGCTTAAGATATTTATGCTTTACATGTACTTGAACCTCAGACAGGAAGCAGATATTCCCAGGTGTCAGTTTTTTATCTTCCAAGACATCAGGGCCCAAAAAGACGAGGTTTCAACATATCCCGAATACAACAAAGGAAGTTTCTGCATGTCTCTAGATTACATAAATCCAGTCCGACATATAACAATGTTTTTTTTATTTTTAAAATACCCCATTAAGCCTATAGATGTAATCTTGAGACCGTAAAGAATGGATCCATCTGCCCATCTATCTGTTCATATTTAATCCAGCTATCCATCTCAGCCTGAGACTCGGACATCCTCAGACAATTATGTGCCTAATTCCGATAATGAGATTTCCAGTAGTATGAAGGGAACGCTATCCCTCGGTGGCAGGAAGTTGTACTATATTTCTGGAAATGGCTGAATCTGTTTCTCTATCTTAAGCCCTTCAGATATAAATATCAAAGAGCTTAAAATGCTGTGGGTGGAATTCTGTTGATGCAGGCAAAATCTGGCTTTGACTGCATAGTTTTGGTGCAAGATTTACAAACCTAGATATTTTTTTGTAGTTGTAGTATTTTATTTTAAATTCATACGCACTACCTCTCTCCTTCAGGACTTGCACATTTCTTTTTATAGTCAAGTTTTCTATTTTTTTTTTTTACTATGTTCTTTGATAAAATGCCGCAAATGAATCTGATTACATTATAGATCAAATAAAAATAAAATCAGAACTGACTTGAATCAAAATTAGCAGGTCATACAGAAAACAGAAAATCAGTGGATTCTGTTTTGTAGAAAAAAAATATTTTGCTGGTACTATACCTGAAAATTTCCTTCCCTTCAGTATGATGCTGCCACTTCCATTTCTCACCATGAGGGTTGCGTATTCATGGTATTATGCACATGTTAGTTATTGGTCAAGTCTGAGCCAAGCATCTTCTTCCACATAAAAAACTGTAAACATGACTTTTATGGTTCTCTTTCAAATTCAGCTCCTCTTTCTTCTAGTTCATATTAGTAGGTTACGCAACAAGAAGCTTTTTTCCAAAGTAACAATGACTTTCTTGGCTGATTACTGCCTGCCTTGTAAACTTAACTATGCGGTGCATTTCATTGACGCACTGGTGATACAAATACATTCAGTGCTAATATCAACTTAATGTGCTACAGGTGCATCACAATAAAATTAAATCTCATTGAAGTTTTCATTTATTTCAATAAGTTAATTCAGAAACACAACATATTATATCGATTAATTTCACACAGATTGTTGTTTTCAAGCCTTCATAGCAGCTTTTATGGTTATTTTCCACATAAAGTTGACAAAAAAACAATATTAAAGGTTAGAATGTTTCATCAGACTAATTAAAATGATGATCTAATATGGAAATCTGGGCTTATTGTTTAACTTTAAAGCAGGTGTGTTTAATACCTGCTTAAAGGTTGTTGCTTTCAAAAATATCATCAAAACACAACTGATTTACTGAGAAGTACCTCTATAAGAACTTATCTTGTGTCTCCTTTAGACCGGGTGTTTATTTTTATTTCTATGTGAACAGAATCTGTGGAAAAAAAAAAAAAAAAGTATTTTAAACTGTCAGCACATTCATCCAAAACTCTTGCAAATAGATAAAAATCTGCTTATGCTATTTAACGTGTTTTCGGAAATGAGGCAATAATGTACACTTTAATGAAAATTATTATGAGTGTACATTACCCTGTAGTTCAAGTACTAAAAATATTACCAAACTATTAAAGGAGCATAACATGCTTTTTTCTTATTTATTTATTTAGCATTGCAAGCCATTGTTTGGTTTTTACCATGATAACAGTTGTTTTTAGCTGCTATCAGAGCTGGATTTTGACACACTGTGGGATTATTCCCAAACAGCCGTTTTCTGGCAGAACCATTAGCATTAACCCCCTCCCTACCCTGTGGCTCCCCTCCTACGCCTGTTGATGGATAATGGTGCTGCATTCCCTTTGGAGCTGTATCTCCATGAGCCACGATCTGTGGAGAGACGTGGGAGGTCACGACGAGCATGCTGCCCCCCACATTTTTCTGCATCCTGTGTAATTTGCTTTAAAAAAGCGAAGTCACGAAGAGCACTCACAAAAGTCGGAGTGTGGCAGACTGTTCATGTTGAAGTTTATCCTCGCTGCTTTTAAACCTACTCACACGTTTACAAGTCCATGGATAAAATGGGTTTCAGTGTGCAAAACGCCACTAAAAGTGTGTGACAAGGCAGCATATGTGCAAACTTAGGGACATTGCTTTGCTTGTTGCATTTGCAAAGCTCCAAATTGTTACTAAGCTTAAAAAGATGCAAATGTGAAATTGTTTCATGAAATATCCCACCCTTTGTGAAATGATTTGCACAATAGAAATAAAAATATGTCTTTGAAGTTGCACAAAAACTGAAAAAAAAAATTATGACCCGCATACGCATCTATTTGCGTTTTCGTAGGTGGAGAGTTGACATGGCATTATGGTGTGTCAGTATAATCTCTGTGCGTTTATCCATCTTATTTATTTCAGTTCTGCTTTTTACACATTTACACGCACCAGTGTGTGTGCTTTTCCCCCTGCATGTTGCAATGATTAATGAGTCTGAGAGACTGCCTGTGGGCTGAGATCAGGTGCAACAAGATTTAACTCAGCAGAAAACACTCAATTCTATTCCTACGCATTCAATTAACCCGTCCCTGTGTTTTTTTTTTTTTTACTTTTCTCTGCTTACCCTGCAGACTCATTTATCTCTGAGTGTTCCCATCACTCTGAGATGGTGTATCATGTCAATGTCATTTTTATTTCAAGTAATTTCTTTTCTCAGAGTTAGACTGACTCTTGTACATGAGATGGTATTTATGTAGCACTTAGCCTAAATATAAATATTTTATCAATCAATCAATCAAATTTTATTTGTATAGCACATTTCAGCAGCAAGGCATTTCAAAGTGCTTTACATAATTAAAATAAAAACAGAGAAAGAGAGAGATTTTAAGAAAAAGAAACAGTGAGAAAGAGAAATAAAAAGAAATTAAAGTAAAGATAAAGAGATTTAATAAAAAATAAAATAAAATAAAAATTAAAAACATTATCCACATGAGGACTTGCCCTTGTGGGGTCTCCTCCAAAATAAGAGGCTCTACAAGCCTTTCCTTCTGTAGGACTTTAGTCAAACCGCCATTTGACAAGGACTCAAACCTTTAAAACTTCTTTACATAAAGAGATAAAAAACAAAGAGAAAAAGTAAAGATAAAAACATTAAAAACATCAAAAACATCAAAGACATCAAAACCCACACTCTAATCCTAATTTAGCCATAGCAACTCTAAACAGGTGGGTTTTAAGTTGAGATTTAAAGGCGCCCAGTGTTTCAGCTGTTTTACAGTTTTCTGGAAGTTTGTTCCAAATTTGTGGTGCATAGAAACTGAATGTTGCTTCTCCTCGTTTGGTTCTGGTTCTGGGGATGCAGAGCAGACCAGAACCAGAAGATCTGAGGGGTCTAGACGGTTGGTACAACAATAACAGATCTTTAAGGTATTGTGGTGCTAAACCGTTCAGCGATTTATAAACTAACAGTATTTTAAAGTCTGTTCTTTGAGCTACAGGGAGCCAGTGTAGGGACTTTAAAACTGGTGTTATGTGCTCTATCTTCCTGGTTTTAGTGAGAACACGAGCAGCAGCGTTCTGGATCAGTGGCAAAATAATTGCTCCTAAATATGTGACAGAAAGACCCATTCATACATTATGTTTTTTTTTTTTTCTGTTCAGCGCTGCTGCCCACTGAGGGAAGCTAAGGTTCTTTATTGATAAGATTTGATGAGATTGGATGTAAATAAAATGATTTTGAAAATGACTGTTTTCCACAAACTGCAGGTTGGAGCTTCAGCATGGGGTCAGCATACCAGTTTCACAGCTGGAGGGTTTTTGTCGTCGTTTGCGCCCTGCCGTGTGTGTGCGCTGTGGTGGCTCTTACCTTCATGCCGGAGAGCCCCAGATACTACCTTGAGGTAATGAGCCCTTTCTGAATAACTAGAAACCTATTATTGCTCAGCTGCGTGTGCTTTGTTAGTCATTTCTACAAAAAAAAAAAAAAAAATGTTGTCCACAACTGTTTAAGAGTACGGATTTTTACAAATTCATGGATTTGATCAGTCTAAAACGGTGTGAGTCATGCACAACTGGCCTCCTGCATGTTTGGAAAACAAAAGCATCGAGATCTCTAACAGCTGGCTGTTCTGCTGGCGGATCGTCATCCTCTGTCGTGAATCACCGCCGACATATCAAAGGACCGACTTCGCGCACAGTAATTGCTGACGTGAAGTTGTTGCTGGAAGACGCGTCCGGTGAATGTGTCTCGTCTTCGCCGTCACCCGTTTCTCTCTCCTTCCTGACAGGTTGGGAAGCACGACGAGGGCTGGATGATCCTCAAGCAGATCCACGACACCAACATGAGAGCACGTGGGCAGCCGGAGAAAGTCTTCACTGTGAGTGTTTGCGACGGACGTTTCGCAGTCTCGGCTGGGTTTTTCCTATGCTTAAGGAAGCAAAGAGGCTTATTTTCTGCCACCACAGGGACAGGTTTGGATTCTTTCACTAGGCAGGATCATGTCTGAATTACGACGGGGTCTAAGAGCCGTTTCTTGTCATTCAGACTTATTTGCTGCTTGGGCTGCACTTTGGGAAAGCTGCTTAGTCAAGACAAGTTTCTTGAATTAATTCTGCACTGCAAATGCATAATTTTGACTTCACTGATATTTCACATTGAGTCACATGGAAAGAGGAAACCATGCTACATAATAAGCTCACAAATTGTCTAATTCGGTACAATAGTGCTATCCGGCGCTCTGCTGTCTAATTAGTACATTAGAAATTGGGAGAAATGTAAAATGCTTCACAAAAAAACAATTTGCAACCATATAATATGATCTATTTGTTGGGGTTTTCTGGGATAAACTAAAAAGGCGTGCATAACTATGGAAGTAGGATAATTTAAATGGGTGGTGTTGAGTTGGCTTTACCCCCCTTTACTCCCAAAACCCAAAATAAAACCCAGTTCAACCAATTCAGATTCAAATTTCACTACATGTTAACTTTTAGACGCCTTAATGGCACCACATTATTTATCTGATCTGCTTCACTCTCACAATCCAGCCAGCACACTTGGATCAACTCTTGCTTTCAGTGGCCCCCACTCAACAAGGCTAATCAGCAGATGTTGCAAAACTTTTTCTATGGTGGACTTTGAAAATCAGAGCTTCGCAAACTGCAGATCAATTTAAGTCTGCTAGAACAACATTCATTTTCAGTGGCTTTTAACTTGAGTTAAGCAGTTGTGTGTGTGGTTATACTGCAACTTTTATTGATTATTCAGATATTTCTTTTTGCTTAGTAGTTCAACATTTATTTTAAGCACATTAGTCAACATTTGTATTTATTTATTTTTGTATTTATTTATTGATTTAACGTTATAGTATCGGACCACATTGAAATAGTTGTTCTTGTAATACTTTAATGTCTAATTGCTGTGCACCAATTATTGAAATATATTCTAAGACATTCATGCACGTGAAAAATATAAAAACACAAACCTGAACTTAACTATTGTACTGTGAATATTTATGCTACTTTGTTTTATTACTAATTCAACAGGTAAACAGGATAAAAATCCCTAGACAACTGGATGAGTTGGTTGAAATGGAATCAGGAACTGGAAACCCGGTTTCCAAATTTTTCTTCAGGATTAAAGCTGAAATACATGGGGTAAATATATTTGCTGTTCACCCTCCTCTACTCTATTGGCGTTATCACAATATGAATGTGAAATATAATCTGATTTTTTTCTCTCTCTTTTGTTTTTAGATCTATCTAAACCTCATGAAGTGCTTCAAGTATCCTATGCAGGAAAACACGATGCGACTGGCCATAGTGTGGTTCACGCTGTCCTTCGGGTGAGATGTTCTCCTGATCCAATCTTTGGTATAGATAAAAAAAAAGGGGGGGGTTTCTTTTTGGTCAGATAATAGCTTCAGGACCACATCACAGTTCTGTCATCTTGATCTCTCTGCTGTTCAAACGTTGGGCAGTCCAGACATGAATCAAACCCCGTGTGTCGATAAGGATCCACTGGAGAGGCGGAAAGACGTACAAATAAAAACCATGAAATCACTTTTTGAAAAATGGTGTCCACTGGTCTTCCACTACCTGTTTGTTTTTTATCAGACCATAGCTTAACCCCAACAATATTTGGTTTTACCTGCTATTTGATGTGGAGCAAGACTATTGTCTTTTATCTTTGCAGGTATTATGGTCTGTCTGTTTGGTTCCCTGATGTCATCAAGCACCTTCAGGCGGATGAATATGCTTCCAAAGTGCAGATCCACATTAACGAACGCATTGAAGGCTTCACCTTCAACTTCACCCTGGAGAACCAGATACACAGAAATGGGACATTTATTCACGACCAGTAAGACGTCTGCTCAACTACATGAGTAGTAGATGCAATATCTTTAAGAAGTATCTATATTTAAGTATAACCATACTGTATGTCGACTGTAAATTTAATTATATGTTAACCGCTGTACCAACGCCGATTAATTTATTCAGGATATAATGGTTCTCATTTAGGTTCGTCAACATGAAGCTGAAATCCGTCACCTTTATTGACTCCACGTTTCGTTACTGCACCTTTGACGATGTGACGTCGGTGGGTTCCTTGTTCAAGAACTGTACGTTTATTGACACTTTCTTCTTCAACACAGGTGAGAACTTTCCTTTAATCATAAAATGCTGTAGAGGTCGTGTCAAAATAAGATAAAACTTCGCGTTACATGCACCTCATGTCATAAAACTCATGACTGACACGACCACATTTCTAAAAAAAAAAAGTCTATCCTGATTTAAGAAGTTGCATCTTTCAGGAAACATTGTGCATGTCTCGATAAAACAAGTCCAAAATGTTTTCTTTTCCATGCGTCGCAGAAACATTGGTTCTTCAAAAAGGCTTTGCTGGAATCAAATTCAGATGAGGACTCAGTTTTTAACACAGAAACATGTTTGATTTGCTTCATCTGCAATATTCCTGCTAATGATAAGAAAAGTGCACTAAAATTAGGATTTGCACAAAAATGAGTTTCGTGTTTTATCGTCATTGCTGGTCAGATTACTAAGAATCCTTAAGATTTGCTTTGCTTCGTTCTTTCTGCAGATATTGATGAATCCAAGCTGGTCGAGGGCACAGAGGTGATTAACAGCACTTTCACCCACAACAAGACTGGGTGCCAGATGACATTTGTTGATGACTACAGTGCCTACTGGGTTTACTTCATCAACTTTCTGGGAACACTGGCTGTTCTTCCTGGCAACATTGTGTCTGCTCTTCTGATGGACAAAATCGGGCGTTTGTCCATGTTAGGTACGGTAACGGGTTGAATGTGTCCCTGATTAGCCTTTTTTTTTTTTAGCACAGTTGAAACCCGATATTTACATACACTAATAATAAGGCAAAAAAAATGTTTTCACTCTGGTGTAAATCAGCCCAAATTTTTCTATGGTACTAAAATCGAATCTTTGTGATGTCCATGCCAAATTACAGTCTTTGATGTCCTTAGGTCACTTTGTAACTAATTCAGTTTTCCCGTTTGGAAAAAAGATTATTTTTCCAAACAGAAAAATTGTCTGTTTGCCCAAAGTTGAACCCTCTGGATGATGTCTTGGCTGTTTTTATTTTTTTTTGTTTTTTTTTCAGATCTTGCTCTTTCCATGATGCTGCAAACACTGAACTTTACAGCTATATTATTTTCAAGCTTGCAAGCTACGTCTTTTTTTTTTTTTTTTTTTAATTAATGGCTTGTAGTTTCAAAAAACTAAGTTTCATCAGAAAATTGAAGGTATTTGTCCCTGAGTGCATTTGCTTATTATACTTTGGCTTTTCATCTCATTTTTGGAGTAATGATGTCTTTCTCTTGGAGTGGCCTTTTTTTCTGGATCATTAACTTATAATACCAATGGGTCTAAAACAGGATAAGTTAATTTGATTTAATCACATATATCTCTGATCTAACTTGTTCTTATCTTTAGATATTGACAGTTAAATACTAAACTGGCTGAGATGAAATAAAGTGCTTTTATCTGGTCACTTCCATCAGGTGGCTCCATGATCCTGTCTGGTATCAGCTGTTTCTTCTTGTGGTTTGGCACCAGTGAGTCCATGATGATTTTCATGTTGTGCCTTTACAACGGTCTGAGCATTTCGGCCTGGAACTCCCTGGATGTGGTCACTACGGAGTCTTTCCCCACTGTCAGAAGGTGAGGAGGACAGGCAGATTAATCAAAGATGTCTTTTTGATCGACTGACATTAATGATTTTCTTTTTTTTACCTTTGTTTCCATTAACTCTCATTTTGTTCCTGACGTTTCTCCCTGCAGAGGAACAGGCTTCGGTTTCTGTAACGCCTTGTGCAAGCTTGCTGCTGTGCTGGGGAACCTGATCTTTGGCTCACTTGTTGGCATCACCAAGGCCGTCCCCATCCTCATGGCCTCGTCGGTGCTCGTTGGAGGGGGGCTGGTGGGGCTGCGGCTGCCCGACACTCGGTCAAATGTCCTTATGTAACTCCATCAACTTGGATGAGTCCTGTGAGTTCTCAAGAAGGCCAAAAGAGCTTTCCATAGGGAGTGCAAGTGGCTTGGTTTGCCCTGAGTGTGTTAATTTTAAGAAAAAATTTGGATTTTTTTCCACATACTGTCATATTATAACAAACTTTATTTTACTAATTGGAACTTACGTGACAGACTAACACAAAGAGAAAATCTGAAAATTGTGGTCTTCGTGATGATGTTTGTTTGCTAATGTTCTTAAAGGGCAAAACAGAGCAGGTGCATTTATATGGAGATTAATTTACACACAGGTGGACTTTATTTAGCAGTGTCTGCAGTCAGCTGATTGCTCTGGATTGTATTAACGAGGATCAACGAAAAGGAACTCTGTACTTCTCAGAATTTTTGAAAATTTAGAAAAATCATCCATAATTTAGTCTTTTATTTTGACTATATTCTACTTTGTGTTGGTCTATCACAAACAAAACAAAAAACAAACAAGCATTGACGTTTGTAAGGCAGAGTGAGTGGAAATGAAGCACCATGTTGTAATGTTTGGTTCTAGGTAGGAGCAAAGTGCAGATAACAGGAGGCAGCAGGTGGAGTGCAGAAGCTTTATTGCTAAATCCAAAGAAGACTTCCAGCGAGGCACGAGAAGCCGGCAGGGAGCCGACCAGAGAGCTTGCGAAAGGAATCGCAGAATATCGCAGAGTGCAACAAAAGGATCCAGTGGAGACCCGATATGTACTGAGGAAGGAGTGCAGAATAATATGACCACCAGAAGAGGTAGTCATGAGTGGGGAAGAGAGGAAAATTAGGAGAAATGAGCTGAGGTGAGAGACAAGTCAAGGGAAGGAGGAGCATAAGTAAGGGAGAAAATCTAACTAAATGAGAAACAAAGCTGTTTTCAAAATTAACAACAGCAACAAAAGGAAAACTGATCTAATACTCAAATAATAATAATAAACCAAGATGTAAAACACACAGAATAAGGAAGACCAGATCTAAGTAACTATTAATGATTAAAACTGAAAACACAAATGAAGCTAAAAGTCCAAATAGCTACACATCATTACAACATAAAGCAGTAAAAAATGCTTTACTAAACAAAAAGAAAAAAAAAAAAAACCTCCCTGGTAAAATAGAGCTTAATTTGTCAAGCACAGAGAAGAAACAACTATTAAAATGCAGATTTAAATCCAAATTAATTTGAATTCAAGTTTAATTTTGAATGATCAAGAAAATAGTTCATGAGTCAGATTTTTGAGTTGAAAGCTGCATTATTAAAATGTTTTTTTTTTTTTTTTTTGGTCATGATTTGAAAGAAGTGACACTTGCTGGACGTCTCAGGTTTTTAGAAAGTCTATTCCAGACACAAGGAGAAACAAAATGCATCCCCTACGTCAAGTCCTGGAAAAGTTGGCAGTCGTAACGTGACAAAATTTGAAAATGTCCACGGTTTTTTTTTTTATACTTTAGCAATCTGCTGTACTTCTGCTAAATCCACTCACTAGTAAATCACATCTTCACAAACCCAGATGTTAACCTGCTCCATAAGACTGAGCAGGTTAACATCTGCTCAGTTTTTTTTTTTTTTTTTTTTTTTGACTGATTGCATCCTCCAGCTCCAGTCACAACCTTACATAGAGACACCTTATGACGGAAGCTTGAGGCTTTTAATATTGATACAGTCTTATTAAGACGGGCCAGATGGGGAGAAAAGTGAAAAACAAGCTGTAATGAGCACAACCAAGCTGTTGTGCGACAGCGTGGGAGCTCCTGATCAGACAGAGAGGACTCATTGACACCTGGCTCACCTGCAGGACTCGCACTCTGAGCAACGAACATTTGTTGCAGAAAGTTGCTAGATACGTAAATAGTGTGAGATGAGTAAACTTCTGACATATTGACACACTTTTATTAATCTCTAAACCTGCACCACTTAATTTTTTTTTGAGTATTTTGCTCAGACTAGACCAACGTTTGAGAGTAGATCATTTATTCAGGGAACCAAGCCATTTGCATAATCTCAACCTTGAATTGAAAAGGCCATAGTATAGATTATATTTTCTTGTACCGTTAAATGTATGTGATGTTAAATATGAGGATGACACCTTTGTTACCCGGTGTGTGACTGTGAAAGCTGAAAAGGTAGTAGTTTTACTCCAGATATAGATATTTGCCATTCTGTTTCAGAATTTGTTTTCTGATGTAAGTTTTGTGTTGAATCCTGTCTCTGTGACTGTTCCTGCCATTTTCTTAAAAAATAAAATAAAATAAATTATAAATACTGAATGGCCTTTTTTAGGATGTGCCTCTCCTTGACAGGATCAGTCTGCCCATAGTCTTGCACTTTCCAAAGGTTATAGGAAAATGAGAGAAATAAACCTGAGTGTAAATGGACATACTGAAATTAATGGTTTATTTATTTATTTATTTAGTCCCACTCTGTCTTGGATTATTCAATTTCCAGTGATTTGCCAAAGTGTTTGTACTCTGTGATAGACCAATGGCAAGAATTGCATAATTTCGAAGTAGATAGAAATTAACAAATGACTTCCTTTAGTTTGTTTTAAAAAAATTCGAAAAGTGTGACTTTCATGTATATTTAGCCATCTGGATCAATACTTTATAACTTGCCAATCTTTATTGACACGGCTCTTCCAGCTTTAGCTCCATCCATTCTCCCATCAACTCTTACTGGCTTTTATATCCCTGCTGAGGAAAAACCTCCCCAAACAATGACGCTACCACCACTATTTTTACTGTGGGCGTCGTTTACTCAAACTGTACATTTTTTGTTACCCTTAGTATTTTACCTGTAGGTCAAAAGGCTACATTATCATTTAGCTCTGGTTTGTTTCTCCCCTGGTGCATTTATTTTTATTTTTTTGTACACAATTCCTCCTCTGCCAGACGGTCTTGGTACGGTTCCAAGACTGTACCAAGACGGTCTTGGTTTGTGAATGTGACCTGACCCCAAGTCGACACAGCTGCCACCTAGGCATTTACTACAAGCCTGAGCAAAATGCCAGTCTGCTGCATGAGTTTTTCTTAGAGCATAGACCCCCATTCAACTTTAGGGTGTATTCTTAAAGTACATTTGAGAATAGGTATAAACAGACTCAACATTTTTGCCTTGTTTGTACTGCCAATTTTTGTTTTGCTTTGCTTGGATTTTGTGAAAAAAAGAAACTAAACCACAAAATAATTACAAATAAAGTCGATGAATTTGAACTAGAAATATTTGAATTACAGGTGAGAAAACACCCTAAATTACACACACAGCTTGACTAATTTCAAATTGCCAAATTCAGGTAATTTCTTAAGGGCGTGGGTTTTACTGTGATTTATTGGTACCAGAGTAAAGAGGGCTGAATACACATGTATGGCACACTTCAAAATATTTTTTGTAAAAACGTTGTAAAAACTCTCATGCTGATTTCTCCTCCTCTTCAGTTATTCAAGATTTTATGTTGGTTTATCACATAAAATCCCAATACAATCCAATGAGGTTTGTGTTTTTGATGTAACAAAATGTAAAAATATTGCAAGGATGAATATTTTCACAAGGTACTGTGTGTGCTATGTGAATGTTTGCACTTTCAAAACAAAAGTTGTTCATTTGAAGTAGATCATTGTGACAGTTTCCTATAATGTGCTTCTAAAAAAGTGACACACTTGTGAGACTCACTGTGTTGCAATATTTTGTTCTGTTTCCTCAATACTGAGACCCCCAATACACTGTTGAAGAGAAAATATGAGAAGAGGTAACACATTGAAAAGGAATAAAACTATGTTAACGTCATGTTGCTATTTCCATAGTTACATAACTCCAAAATTGTATTTTCTCACATATTGTTTCTCCTTTTGTTTGAATGGGTAAACTGAGATTCTCATTCTTTCATTCTTGTTTGTTTAGTTTGTGCCTGTGATCTCTGTTTTCTGTATTTCTCTATTTCCCCACATTTCTTTGTCTTTGTGGTATGTCGACTGTAGTTGTATGTAGGATACCCTTCACTGAAGCCTTCTTACATAGGGCCACTTAAAAAACAAAGAACCCCCTCTAGGCCCCACTATTGTTTGTGTAAGCTTCACATTTATCTCTATTTTGCAAAATGGGTTGGAAAATATATACTGAAGTATTGCGCTGTTGCTCAGCCAATCCTGGTTTAACTATTCTTGAACCAAGAGCATTGCAGTCAACAAACATATAAATACAATGCAATCATTAATACCCAGCACTGCTGACTGCTATCTGTAGCATAAGTGTGAGACAGAGTGATCTGCCTGGTTGTGGATATATTAAAGGCTCAGTGCCAGATCAGGCTGTTACCTGTCAGGACTGAAGGATTTGGTATAAAAGCTACATGTACTGTATTTGTGTGTGTGCGTGTGTGAGTGTGTGTGTACATGGATGACTGTATTCTAAAAAAGACAGAAACTGAGCAAACTGTGTGTGTGTTTGTGTGTGTGTGTGTGTGTCTATATGGATGAATGAATGTAAATATTCTGTACATATCAAAGCTAATATATGTGAATTTCTGAGTTAAATGTGTGCAAGCTTCCTCAGAATCATTTGTCTCCTGGTGATAGTCCCTTTATTGTCATGTATCTCTGTTGTACATCTATGTGTGTGTGCGTGTGTGTGTGTCTTTGCCTTTCACCTGCTATTGCTCTGTGTGTGCGTGAGCAAACTTGCATGTTTGTAGGACCAGCTCCAGGGTTCATTTCTTTTTACCTTTGTGTTGTTGCTGTAAATTTTCCTGGCAGAAAGTGATGGCAACATTTTGAGTTTGCTGAGGAAAAAATTGAATTTTTTTTTTTTTTTAGTTTTTTATTCTTTTTTTTTTTTTTTTTTTTGAAGGTAGTCAAACGTATGTGGAGAATAAAGCCGTCAATAATATTGCAAAGGCAGCCAGAGGATGACTGAGATGTGTGTTCAGGTGTTGAAAAGTGTAAAAAAAAAGAAAAGAAATGTGAATAAAGATTTGCCAAATGACTCGCTGTGTACGATATGAGACACTGGAAAGACAGAGGCTGCTGTCTGGGCTGCTTTTGAACATATGCAGTATAATAAAAGTTATGTTCTCTTCCAAACCATGTTGTGCTTTCATTTTACTACCTTAACTTGGTAAATCGTATGACGACATAATATTTGTTTTGATATTTATTGTATTTTACTTCACTTAGCCGCTTACATTTTTCACCAGTATGGAGTTCTGTTTGTAGTTTGCAGAAAATACACAATTTAGCTCACGAATACAGTTCCTTTCTTCATCTACTGATTGGTTTTGCACATGCAAACATGTAGAGAACCATTTTCTGTAATTTTTTTAAAAAGTGAAATTTGAGGGAGGTTTGTTGAAAGACTTCCTCATAAAAGCCTGATTTTAAAATAAGCATTCAGATCTGAAAGTTATATCAAACTCGTACATTAAATTTAGGAACTCTCATATGTAAACTGCCAGATGACGGAGGGAAGAGAAATTTTAAAGTGTTATGTTTTCTGTCGTAGCGTTCATTAAGCTTGAATTATGCTGCCACCTACTGGATAAAAGTCGAGTAATTAAATACAGTTAATTGCGGCAGGATTCATATAGTACACCTGGAAATATATTCAGTGTTTTCCATTCATGTGCAGTGTTCAGAAACAAATCCCTTGCACTATCTTGTAAATACAGGTAAAGCACATAACTCTTGAATCTTGAATTCAGCTTCAGTCCCAGCTGCAAGTCTTAAGTATAACTTTACCACTTTTCAGAACTTAGAGACTGAAATTTTCTCAATTTTTCCTTTCAAAACAGTCACAGAGCAGAACAAAATTCTCAGTTGGTTTATATTTAGGTTTTGGTGAGCAAAACAAAGGAATGAACAAAGAAGTTCATTCCTTTATATATCACATTACATTTAAGTTGTTTGTCTTCCTGAAGTCAAAAGTAAGTGCTGCTAAATGCAATATGAGGTTTTTCATTATTAGATATTTACTGACCATAAAAATATGCTCTATTTGTATATGTTTATCAGTAAAGTATTAATGTAATTACAAAGAGCACTGATTCTCATACTATGGTTTTCAGAAACGTACAAATTTAGCGTCTGATCCACTGGGAGGTCATTAATATGAACAGGTGCAGCTATTAAAATAAACAAACATGCTTTTATTGTTAGACTGTTAACTTACAATTATTGTGAACATGACAATATTTTTTGTATTAGTAATATTTTTCAGATTAGTTCATCATGGGTGCCATGGTTAATTCATGGATTGGAAAATACAAAAATATTTGTAGGGCTGGCATGCAGTACATGAAATAAAGACTTGCATGTAAGATAGCCGAATAAGCATGAAAAACAACTATATATTTAGAACGACATTTTTCAACCCAACAGCTGATTAAAAGCAAAAAGAAAGAAAAATCTTGAGCGAAACTGTAATGATTCCTGCATGGAGTTTCTTTCTTTGAAGTGTTATCACACCTTTTGGCCACCAGGTGTTGCAAAGGTTACACTCACTGTCCCGTCAATCATCTCTTGTCAGCTCGTAGTGGAGGACAGATAACGCAACCAGGAGCACTTTGGACAGAACTCAGACAAAAGTGGTGCAAACCATGGGGGTTTAACCACAGGAGGTCGTAGCAGGCACTTTATAAAACTTTTTAGTCTTGTTTCCGGCGTATTCCTCGTCCACGCGCCGCCGTCCCAGCAGTTTCTTATTCATCTCATCAGTACATCCTGAGAGAGGCGCGGCTCTCTGCTGGTTGTCTGGCTGAAACGTTAGCTTCTTGGCTGAAGTTGTTTCCAGTTCAGACGAGTTTACGAGTGGAGGAAGCGAGGCAGGATGTACCATGAAGAAACCACAATGTTGCAGAGGCCACGCTATGGAAGTAAGTTGCATGTTTTCTATCGGGTTTTGGCGTTGAAACGCGTTGACTGGGAACTTTGCAATGAGGCATAAATGCAGGCTAATGATATGGGGATATGATGAGCAGCAGGTGGTTCACCTATACCTGTCGGCACTTAGCAGCTGGACGCTTTTACAGTACTTCCCTCATTAGCTTTTATTTCATAGGAAAACGTACGAAGAAACTTAATTATTGGCCATAAAAACGATATAACATTCACATTTAATTTCTTTTCTTCCCACACGGTGTCCCTGAATGCACCACAATCATTTTTACCTGTGTATTTGGCATGTGACAACACCCAGTAAATCAGCATTTCCACGCAGCAGGCTTTTTCTCATAGGTTAGCCATTAACTTTAGACTTCTGCTGCTTTATTGAATTCTGCAGCTGACTCTCAAGAATGCAGGTGAACTGATAAGATTTTTTGAAAGCAACAAAGTACAGCATTGTGACACTGATCAATGACCATCAATACTTTTTCCCCCCTGATGGGAATCTTGTGACACAGAGTTAGTTGCGTTTTTCATTTTCAGAATAAAAAGGGGGAAAAAAACAAACAAACCAAAGTTACTTTTGTCATGTGTTTTAACTTTACAGCATCGTTTTGGGACAAGTCACTCCTAGGTGGTGATGTCATAACCTGTAGTTTATGAGTTTCTTTTCAGCATCCCCATCTTTTCCAGGAAAAAAAAAAAAAAAGATTAAAGGGAACCCATGTTGCCAAAAAAACTTATTAGTCATAATGACATCTCCCTGTGATCCTTTTGACATACAAAAGCATTGAACCCATCCTGATAGTTAAATATAACGCTCAGTGCAGACAGGCTCTTCCAGGAAGTGTGTGACTGAGTCACTATAGGCTGTTTATAATGGCTGCTGCCACTGCCTCAGCAGTGAGCGCTCGCACACATTTTTTTTCACCCATGTCATCTGCACAGCTGGGTTGGCTAGCACAGGCAAATAATATGTTGATTTCCGTGTTGGAGCTTTCAGCCAAGTGGCGGAGGCAGCCCTGCACATGCGTGGCTTTGCGTCTCTCCTAACACGTGAGGATTGTATGTCAAGCCTCTGCTAAGACTTGGCAAATGGATGACTCTGCAGGTGGCTGCCAGAATTTTACGGAGTGAACCTAGAGAGGTTTAAAAGATTCAGACTGACCTCAAACAGAGTTTAGTTTACTTTCTCAGCTTTGAGAATGTTTTAATTTCCACATCATAGTTAAAGATGCAACAACCACATACCAGGCAAGAATGTAATATAAAATGCATCATCTGCTCAATTTTATTTACTTTATTTTCATTTATAGTTTTTTTTTTCTGTCGTTGTTGAGGTACACCAATGACCAATTTTTGAAATGGATCCTGTATATTTTGGAGCATTGTCACAGAAATTGAGTGTTCTTCATAAGACTGTCATGACACTGTCATAAACATGACATAACACCTGTCATGAACATGAATAAGTCTTCATGAATATTTATGACTGTTGTCATAAAGCGTAATTCGGTAAATTACGACACTTTTAATACAAAGTTGACATTATTCAAAATGTCTTTATGACAACTTGACATTAACCAAGAAATCATTACTGTTTAAACTTTACCTCTAATAACATAAAGTTACCTAATTTTTAAAATGCAATCAGTAATACTTTCATAACAAATTTATATCAGTAATGATTTATTGGTTAATGTCAAGTTGTCATAACAAAGATATTTTGAATAATGTCAACTTTGTATTAAAAGTGTCATAATTTACCGAATGACGCTTTATGACAACAGTCATAAATATTCATGAAGGCTTATTCATGTTCATGACATGTGTTATGTCATGTTTATGACAGTGTCATGACAGTCTTATTTACCCCCCCTTCAAATGAAGTGTTACCAAACATTCGCATGGAAAACCTTTAAAAATTTGTCTTTATGTAAAATAATTGATCCTTTTATGTCGCAATTGGCTAAATATCTAAAGATCTTTGGAGCCATAGGTTGCAGATATTTAAACCATTCTCTTTTTGTTCCTGTTTTATTTTTTATAGTTTTCCTGCTAGGCCATGAATCTGCACACAGGTCTTAAACCTTCCACAGCCTTTAAACAGGTTTTCTTTCAGGGTTGCTCCATTTAGCTCCATGTTTTTCCCATCAGCCATTCATGTACCTACTCAATAGAAGCATCTCCACAGCATGATGTTGCCATCATGGGTCATCTTTAGCATGGTGCACCCAGGACGATGATGTGAAGTTTAGTTTCCTGACACACACATTCTTTTGCACAGAGGCCCAAATGTTGGATCCAACAGTT